CACACACACACACACACACATACACACACACACACACACACACACACACACACACACACACACACGCACACACACGCACACACTCACTCACTCACTCGCTTACTCACAATCAATCAATCAATCAATCAATCAATCAATCAATCAATTAATCAATCAATCAATCAATCAATCAATCAATCAATCGATCAATCAAAACCCTTTTTTTAAGTTTTTTGTTTATTTATTTTCAAATTTTGCATCTTTGTTTTTTTTAAAACACCTCATTTCCCTTCGAAAAAAACAAATCCAATTCTAAAAAAAATACTGGGTACTCAGTGACCATATATCGCATGATAAAAAATGTCAAAAAAACAATCCAGCTTTTTTTATGTATATATTTTTAATTATGTTTAAATCGATTTTTGTTTTTGATTTTTTAAAAATCCTAAACAATGTCGGATTCCAAAACAAAAAATATAGGGGTGTAGGGTTTTCGAAGCCCTACACCCCCATATATATATAATTTTTTTTTGAGTATTTTTAGGGGTAAAAAAAAATATTTAAAAAACCAGGCCGTGGACCGGGCCTCGTTGGCCGCGGCCACGGCCGGGATTTTGGGCCGCAGCGGCCGAAATGCCCGCGGCCGCGGCCGCGAATGTCACATAGATATACTGTAAATGGAACAAATTCGTTTACTCCACAACAGATACGTCGAAAGCTATCCGACATCGTATTTTCTTTGTGTCATCTAATGTGAACGTGAAAAGTGGAAGAAACCTTCTCGCCAATAGTGATGCATATGTCAGCATAAACACACGACACTCGTTGAAGTCGCGCTGCTTTGGAATGCCTTCCACTTGCCATATATGGTTGAAGTTTTTCGTGTTAATTTCTTGACCTTGTTGGACCGACCTCATGTACAGAAATCTTGCGAACCCCCCTGTCACCTTCGCCGCGAGTTCAACATCCGGTGTCAGCGAATCGTAGTACTCAATTTTCATACGCCTAAGGTCTGCCACTACGAGTGTCCAATGTTGGTTGTGCGTGACGTGAAAAGGTGCAATGATCATATCCATGTCGCTAATCGCGACCTATGTAAACCAACTGCGAACCTTTTCGTACTTGAACATCATATCGCTATCAAATAGTTTTGCGAAAAAAAATGAGCTTAGAATTGCTATTGTAGGAATGCGCCCCTTTCCTGTTCTAACGACGTTTTCGTTCTTCGAATCGCAATTATGGTGCTTCACACGACATTCATTGTCCAGTCGGACAAGGTTAAGATAAAAATTAACTATCTGCTCGTTCAACCACTTTTTTTTTATCATTAGCAAGCTAAATTCGTTGACTGTCATCGTTAATTCTTCTTTTGTATCTTCGTTAAATGAACTTGTTATGACGTCGCTATCCCCAAGTTTCACTCGCAATCGCATGAGGGCCTCCATTTCTCTCTCCGTCCAATTCGTTGTTGCCAAGTGGACAGTCCATCCTTTTTTGCACCTCCGGTTATCCTCGATTGTCGTTTGCGCTGCACATGACAACGCGCCATGTCTTTATGTGAGCTCATGTTTCAATACGTCTATCTCTAGTCATGTTCATTGCATTCAATTTGTTGTAGTAATGTGTAGGAAGGGTTACCTTAAAAGAGCGGGGTGCTTATTAGAACTAGTAATTTACGTAGTTGAAACCAATACACAATCAAGTTGTCGAATTTTGGGATGCTGGCCGCCTGCGGTGCTGCCCACAATAACTTGGGGTACTCGGGTCCATTGTTACGCTTCTTGATGTTGTCGGCAAGATGTCGCATGCAATACCCGTGAGGACAATCCGAAAATACATCGCCTACTTCGTCGATGAGACCTTTGTCCCGATTGGATAAAAAAATTATTCTTTGATGATTACCATCATGTGATTGGAAAGTTGCAGAGAGGTGATGTAGGAACCAGAACCAATTGTCACGGTCCTCGCCGGGTACAATTGCAAACGCCACCGGGAACAAGTGTCCCTCAGCGTCCACGACCGTTGCGCATAACAAAACACCTTTGTGCCTTGTTTTCAAGAAAGTGTCGTCGAGGCCCAACAGGGGGCGACAGTGCATGAAACTGGTCAGACAAGCATCAAGCGCATAAAACAAATGCTTGAAGCGAGGGGACCCTTTCTCGGTCTGCACGAATGCACGACTCCCCGGGTTAGAATGTTGAACCTCCTCGCAATACAGCCGGAGGTTGCGAAACCCGTCGTCGTCGAGCCCAACAATTTTCGCCTTCGCGACCTCCTTTGCTGTCCACTCGAGGCGGTACCTGATTTGCACGCCATGCTGTCGATATATATATTTCACGATATCCACTGGTGAGTAACCCCGCAGTCTCGGCTCGATGAATCGGAAAACCCAAGAAGCCGTTGCATTGACTTTCGACAGTTTGGAGATGTCGCCACATGTGTGCGTCGTTACCGACTTGATGCTGCACGTCGGTCCACCATCGATGATTGAGCCATGCAGCCGCCAATTGCAGTTCTCGGCCTTGCATTTCACATTATACCGTGCTGTATCGGACTTCACGTTGCGATACTTGTACCTGTTCTTCACAACATCATCAGCGACAGCCTTCCGGAGATCTGCGATGTTCGCAAAGTCTTGGCCGACGCATAGAACCCCTACTTCATTGACAGACTGCATCGGAAGCTTCTCAAGATTTCGGCAATCTGACAATTTTTCTTTTCTTCCTCGACTCTCACTCATCGACTCTTTAAGATCAGACTTCAATTTTTTCATCAAGAGGTCTTCCTTGAGAAGGCTGCGGTAGGGATGACTTCAGGACTATTTGGGAGAGCTCCAAGCGGTAATTTAATCCGCGCTGGCACTTTGGGTTGGAATTCTTTGGGCCCGATGAGAACCTGACCATCTATCTACTGAATCCTTGCTCTCCTTGTTCATTCAATGTTGGAAGAACGGCGGCTACCACTACGTTCTATTGGTATGATTGTGCGCGATTAATCTGATTGATCTAACGAAATCAGATCGGTCCTGAGATTGTTATCGCAGGATCGCTTATGCGCGATGGGCTGCTAGGTAAGGGAACTTCATGGTATCTCAAAGCAGAAGACTAGGATGCGAGATCTCTGGGCTACGGCTTCGTATCACTCGCCTTATGATGCCGCTTGCCTTATCATTGGGCAGTTAGTTACGATTCTGGATCTTGAATCCTAGGTTATTATGTCCTTCCTGGCACTAAGATCGTCTTCTTTGCATACTGATTAACCTGATTCCGAGTTGCAAGAGAGTTCCTCGACTTATTAAGTTCGCACTAAACTTTGGATTTTGGGCCCGTTTTAACTACATAATGGATATTTTCTACTCACAGTATTATTGCTTAACCAGTTATTCTCATCTCTGTCGACCAAAAATTTAGATCTGCGCTGAAGCAGCTTGCTGGAATTCTCCTGGAAAGTTAGACGCGATGCAGACTACCTCCTTAGAAGGGGTTGCTGCTCGAAAGAGAGAAGAAAGGGAAGGAGAGTTTAACTGTGCGTCTTGTGCTGCTTTAGATAAGTTGTAGCTTGCTCAATTTACCCTTCTTTTTCAGGATATTGATAGGGTATGCTGGTATTAATCGCTCTTTTGGGCTCTCAAGGGAAAACTCTTACTCGTCTGTCTTAGGCCAAATGGTAGTAAGGGAAGGGCTAGATTTACATAGGTGAAAAGGCTTGTTTTAAGGGATGACATAAATCGCCTGTTTCAATGGTATTTTGCCCCCAATCATGGACTATAAAAGGATGGGTTTATGAAGATTCACTAAAAAAAAAAAAAAAAAAAAAGGAGGAAGGGATTTTCCAAGAACTGTCATTTCGTCAAAATGGACATCTTTTATTTTTGAATGAAATTGAAACCGAGTTTTTTGGCCGAAAACTCGTCAAAATTTATTGCTCCTGAGGGTCCGGCGTTTGTAAAACGTTGGACCCCCTTGCTGTACATGGATCTAGCTTAAGACCAGGCACCTCCAGGCAGTCCTGCCTGGAGGTGCCTGGTCTCAAGCTAGGTCCATGTACATCCAGGGGGTCCAGCGTTTGTAAAATGTTGTACCCTTAGGAACAACAAATTTTGACAAGTTTTTGACCAAAAAACTCTGTTTCAATTTCGTTCAAAAAATACAAAATGTCCATTTTGACGAAATGGTCGTTCAAGGACCTATCATCTGGGTAATCAACTAGAGCCTTCTTTTGATCCTGGGATGAAGACAATTAACAGTTACAATATACATCACATGCAGTCGCCACCATTTTTTTAGGGAGAGAGGAAAGATTAAGGGAGGAGGGAGAAGCGGGAGGGGGAGAGGGAATTTCGGTGAAGCAGAAAGGAAGAAAGGAAAGAGGTCTAGGAAGAAGATAAGAGAAGAGGAAAGGACGATGCTGGACGAGGATTTATGAGACGTGTTAGTATTGATGAAGGGTCAATGAGTGAATTTTATGACTTAATTTGTTGAAATTTGCAATTCAATTCTTCGTTTTCGACTGAGATACCATAATATTTAGCCGGAATCGGCTTAAAACAGAAGAACTTTTAGAGGATAGTATAGAGATGGCGGTCACCTGATGGACCGAGTTGCTCCCATTAAACCCCTCACCTATAATCTTCTGAGCTTTGATTTCAAATCGGTTGCAAACCGCGCTTCTATCCTGAGGAGTTTCTCAATCACTGTTTTCTAATTTGAACCCGCCGAGGCGAAGAACTGTCCACCGACTTTCCCCTTTATCCTATCTCAGCCCTTTCCCCAAAAGAGGTTTGCCCCCTTTTCTGACTACTGTTCTTCTTTCTCTTCTCTCCGGTAACAACTGAAAGGAAAGTGAATGTGTTTGTGCACCTTGTCAGAATTTGTTGCAATTTTCTCACGCCGAACAAACAGGGAACATGTCTACTTATGATGAAACTAAAGCAAGCAACGGCTGCCCTTGTCTTTGTAACCAACATAGGACAACTGTAAAATTGATACTAAAAAAAACAAAAAAAAAAAATCATCTTTATGGCAGACGCAATTACCTACATCCTCGCCTTGCACCCACACTTCACCAACTCAGACCGCCTCTACTGGCCTATTCCAACTAGGCAGTAGATCCCATTCACTTGAACCCCCCCCTTTTTTTTCTCTCCTCCCTTCATCGGCACGAATCAGTAAGCTTCGTGAAGATCACGCCATCAACGATGACGTCAACCTACGCGCTGATTCGACAAACGGCAACGAGCAATGGTGCAGAGCACACGGAGATCAGGTGGACCATGATGGCGTCACCTGGACGATCTCCACGAGGCAGAGGGGTGCATATGACAGGGCTACAGAGATCTTGCCACGGATGTTGTCGCCATCTCATCTGCGGCCCAGTTATCGTTCCTTGTACTTCTTTCTGCTCTGTTGATACGCTTGGTTCCTCATGCATCACTCTGTTCTCCCCTCTTCTTTTTCGCCATGACATGCAATCAGGAGATCGCATAATTTTGAAACCCCCTGCGCGTCACATATGTGACGAACGACTTCCCGACCCCGTGCCATCTTTCATACCCTTTCTTTTGCTTGTATCATACCAACCCCCAGGAAAGCCCCGTTTTGAGTTCTTGCTTTCGGGTGCCACATTTTGCTTTTTGAGAGTTTTTTTTCGACTGCTGAGTTCTGTTTTTCTTCTTGCAAAGTCGGAAAATACATGGGAATTTAAGTGCGCCTTAGCGAGCGCACTGGGAATTGGGCTCGGTAGTTGGGAATTCCGGGATAAGCGGAACTTCGACGTGTCCTTTTTGGGTGTGAGAATGTTCTTGGGCGCGTCGGGGAAAACTCTCGGAATTTTGCGTGAATACGAATAGGCATAGGATTTTCTTTTCCTGCGTCGCTTTTTCGCGCGCGGACATGGTGATTTCAATTTTGAATTAGGATAGAAGCAAGCTGTAACTGTTTTGATGCCTTTTTCTTTTTTTTTTGTTGACGGCGCCGTGCATGCAAAAACTTCCTCCTCTCTGTCCCCCGCATCGCTCCCTCCCGCGCCTCCCTTCCCTTCTCCCTCCTTTTTCTCTCTCCCCGTAACTGTTTTTCCTTCTCCCTCTCTCTCTTTCCCGCCTTGCTTTTGCGCGCCCATTTCCCTCTCTTGATCATCTGAATCTTGGACCCGTCTTGCGCCACCTCTCGCGTCTTTTCTCTTTTCACCATCTAGGTCTGGCGTACGACGCCCGGTCGATCCCTCGATAACTCCCGCTCGCCAATCAGGTGCGTGGATCGATAGGACCTTCCTATCGCGCGACGAATCTGATTGGTTGAACCTTGAGTTGCGAGGGATCAGCATGGCGTTCGTAGAGCACTCTTCTCAAAGTCTTCTCCTCCTGCTTCTCCTCTTACACCTCAACTTTCCTGTCGCTTTCTCCCCCTTCTATCTCCCCTGTCACAACTATAAAACCCGCAAGCACGTCCGCAAATCTCTCTTATGTTCTGGACTCCTAAGCCAGCTTCCAAGAAGCAGTGGGTAGGTAGAGTGGATTGATGCGAGTCGGTCGAATCCGGCCTAACCGTGTCGAGTTTACGACAGCGGGGTGACGATCGCAGTGGTGGGAGTTAGCACGCGACGGCCGGGATCGTCGGTGCAGGTATGAGGTTCGATGATTGGAGTTGAGTGAGTGATTGGCCCGGGGCCATAGTGGAATTAACGGCGAATGCGCCTTTGTTGCGGATTGTTATCCTTGGCGTGAGTGTAAGGCGGCGACGCCGACCTTTTCTCTTTTCGGACCTTGTCGTCTTCTATTTTGACTCTCTCTCTCTCTCTCTCTCTCACTCTCCTCTTGAATGATGATGCGTCTGAATGATTGTCCCGCTCTTGAATGGAAATGAGTCGGCATTCAGTGTGAAAGAACTTCTTCCGGAACTCTTCCATTAGTTTCCTGGGTAATCCTCCTACGCAAGGACCCTGTCTTCTTGTCTTGTGAACGGTGGATGCGTGTGTACTGAGTAATGCGATCCATTTTTTCTTGTGCATGTCTCATTTTTGCACCTTCCACAGTGAATGCGTGTATGGAATGTGTGACTCTTTTGTTGATTAGACGATTGTCGTCCGGATTTGGTTCGAGAATGCAAGAGTGTTTCATCTGTAGCTCTGTTTGCACTGCGCATGCCATCTGCCTTATGCTGCACGACATCAGCAGCCGAGCCACGAGGCGGCCCTGAGAAACAAGGCACCCAGGGAACAACGTTGTGTTGAAGTGATCGGACCCATAGTCATATGCGTGATCAAGCTGATCTGTGTTTGCTCTCTCTCTCTTGTGTCAAAAAGATTGATTGGGGGACGCGCGAATTGCTTTTGTTCTTAATGACGTCTCAGGATATTTTGTGATTGATTGACATGTGGATTGACAAGTACCCTTCGATTGGGCGCCAGCCTCCCGTATCTCCCATCCCAACGCGACATTTTCCTTACAGTGAGGAAAGGACACGTGTATGTGAGTGGGACGTACGAGAAGCCGTTGCACAAATCGGCGGGCAGTATTACTTCCCTCCGGCCAACCGCTGTTCTGGGTTCGTAGAAGTCGGGTTTGTTATCGATACACACTTCCCACCTTACTCAGTATTGTTGCCATTTAATGAGTTAATCGTCATTCTGTTGACGGCAGTAGAACCCCTTTGGCCGCGCACTATGTGCACCGAATGTCAGCGTTTTGAGCGTTACGAGTCCAGGGGTTTCCACTACCGTGTGCGGAGTGAAGACGAGCATAAAGAAAGAGCCACGCGACTGAGACCCTCCACGTCAGACTCGGAACTAACCAGCGAACGACGACGAGACTTGATACGAAA